AAAAGTGATGAATTCGAGAATTCGTACCCCCTTCTATATATTCTTCTTAAATCCTGATTATGTTGCTGCTCGCTCGCTACGCTCGCTCCGCAGCAACAATGCAAAAACGTGGTCAGTTATATTCTTTATGCGAATTTCACTGAAAAGCTTTGACGAGGTTCACCTATGGCTTACTAAGTAGTAGTCGATAGCAAAATTGTCTGATCATATCACATGGCTGGTAAGATTTAGCAGGTAATTTTTTTTTCATAAATTCTGTGTGAAACGATGTCAGAGTCTCGTTCTGCATGGATTTCAGCCTGCGTCGCAGACGCTTCATACCGTCTGCAGCGAGGGCTCTGGTTTAATTGAGTGTATTAGTATTACTTCACTGCTTCAGCAGTGATATGCATATCTAATGAGGGTCGATCTATTGGGAAAATTTTCAGCCCAGTCCATTCGCTACTTAACTGATGAATGCAGTAAGTGCTGTATATAGTGCAGTGGGGAGTAGTAAATAGGCAAGACTTAATTAATCTTCCAGGCTTAGTTAGGTTTGATTTTCGTGTCCCTCATTATTTTGGTTAAACAGATATCTACAACTCGTCACAATGGTGTCGTGTGATTGGTTCAAGTTAATGCTCTCTATTCCTCCGCAAGAGCCCATGACGAGAGCAGCTGTGTTTGTCCAGTGGTCCTCTATGGTCGCTTACAACTTACTTGGTCTGACAATATTAGCTGTCCCACAAATATGGAAGGGATTCTTGCAGCTGGAATTCAGTGGTCGTACAGAGGGGTATTTTCGACTCCAAGCGGTAGCGCAGTTCGAACTTGGCTTTTTGTATATCATTTTTGCTCGCAGCAAGTTTGATGTGCCAGGTAATGTGGAACCGTTTTCAAATGTCAGCAGTAAAGTTACATGTAACCGAGGGCGGTGCCCAGGGCTAATGGTTAGATTGTTCTTCTTTTAAGATTTGAATTCAGGTCCAAGCCAAATAAGTCCTGTGTTCTTGGGCAAAACAAATTATTTACTGGAGTACTTCGCACTACCCAGTACCCGGCAACAGGCTACTTTCACTGCATAAACCTTCAAAATAAGTCCTCGCATGCGATATGAAAATGGGTTTGATTTGCATGAGAATAAACGCGTTGGCGGAACACTCGTTTTGAAGCAGAGGCACAAGGTAACTCGGAAATGGCCTGTATAAATAGGAGTTGTCCTTGGCATTTTATCCACTCGTTGTGTTCTTCCCTCGTTGTTAGAGATCAGTTCTTTTAGGCCTGCAGAATCTGTGATAAGCTCCATTTCTGTATCTTTCAGGTGGAATACCAATCCGTGGTCCTGTCCTGAGTAAGATCGTGTTTGTAGCTGGCTTTATGGTACCCCAGTGTCTGAGTGGATCACTTCCACTGGCCTACACTATCTTTTACTTGAGCCTTGACACACTGATCGCTCTCTGTACGTTCGTTATCTGGTACTGTGAAACGGAAAACGCATCAGTCATACAACTCGCTAAAGATATGATGAGGTTAATGCTAAGTGGCCTGCCTCGTCGAAAATCCTCAGTTGTTGTCGTGATTTGTGGAGCTATACAGGTTAGCTTTTTTCAAGAGTTTTTCGATTTTCATGAATCTCTTCCTCTTTAGAGCTCGTACTGGACCAAACTGCGTTTTACCATTTCAGCCACAAACAGTATCAAAAGGTCTTTCTGCAACATATATCTGAAGCCGCTATATCACATTAGCACTGTAGATGTCTATATATTATTATTATTATTATTATTATTACTATTATTATTACTATCATTATTTATTTATTTATTTATTTATTTATCTATCTATCTATCTTAGGCCGTCTTTAGTGTCCTCTCGCATGGTTAACATATAATTCTGCTTGTGATTGCCAAACTTGCCCCTTTCCCCGTTTCCCTTATCCCCACCTCCCACGGCACTCGCCTGTATGACACAAAAATGTAACAACTAAATTTATTTCAGGTCCCTGTCGGTCTCACTTTCGTTATCAAGCCGAGCTACATCCATAACTTGCTGGAACTGGATCCGTTCCAGGGCCACGCGGTTGGTCTGCTGTCAGCCTATTTTTTCGTCCTGTTCGTACATGGCACCCTGAGCATACTGGGCGGGACAGCGGATGGGGTGTCCTTCAACATCGCATGCGCGTTCTACCGTTTGGCCATTGGAATACCGTTGCTGATAATCCTTGCAGTCACGGGTCAGATTGAAGTTTACTTGAGCGTGTTTGCGGCATCGCTAGATTTGATCTTTGCTGTTGTCATATTAATTTCGTTATGGTTTGAAGGAAAGCTAGAAACAGTTTCACCAGGAAAATACAACTAAGACCCGAGCCATTACGGTAAACTTCGTGTTCACTGTAGGGAAATTAAGCATAACCACAAGAAGTTTACGCAGACGTAGTGATGTGAATATCATAAAGTCAGTTGGTAGGAGTTAATCTTCATAATTTATAGCGTCAAAGAACGAGGGCTTTAGGAAAGGTCCACTGGAATGTAGTGAGCCCGTTTTTGTGGACCGACCATAGCAATCAAGAGTGATAAAAAAGTTTGTACTAACTACTGTAACTCAATAGTCAATAAATTAAAAGCTAAGAAAATTTGACGGCGGTTCAGTACTCTTTCAAGGTAAATCTATTCAATCTATGAGATATATTTTACGCTTCTTAATTCCTTTCTAAAGATACTTCTCAATTCCCTTCTAAAGTTCATAAAATGTATGTTTTTAAAATGTTTATCACCGCTGTTTGTGTTATATTTTTAATCAAGCTCGAAAAGTTTTGGCGAAGCGTTAATTTACAATGTTATGAATTTTGCTTGATCATTTGCTTCATTTTAAACCGTGGCTTTAAATTCACGAGTCGACTCGTAGAATATACCCACCCGCGGGTGGGGTGAGACGAAATGACGACACGACTTTTCTTGGTAAAACAGAGATGAAATGGGCCTGAAAAAGGGAGACGCCCAACCTGACCCATCCCTGAGAAACTAGATTTATGTCAACGACACCCAAAGCAGTTATCGCTGATTCTGATTGATTCTGATTGTCGTCACTTCTGGTGGTTTGGTCACATCACTCATCACTATATATGTGCCCGGCCCTGATCGCCTTTCGTTCACGAAAATAGCCCGGACCTACGTTCCGGTTGACATACGAGATCGATCATGTACAAGTATGCGACTTTCCAATTTCGCTGTATCCAGTTGATGTTCCAAGAGAAGTCAGTTTTGCTTGTTGCTGACCAGCTCAGCGGAATGAGAAACTATTTTTGGAAAACAGCGCTGTGTAAAATGGGTAATGAGATTGGTGCATGTGAAACGTGACAATCGAAAGCACAAGCACATGATTTGAAAAGGTGCACGCTAATCTCGTTGATCACATTGCCAAGGCCTATATGGTGGATTAACTCCCTCTGACCCTTCATCTTCTCTTGTCTGACTCCCATCAGAAGTACTAAAACGCACCGCTGACAATCAAGTATAGAAAGCCGATCGCCTCGTTCCGGAATATTCGCTGCCAACTGACAAGGTCATGAGCATATATGAACTAGCAATTTCTCTACGAACTATGTAAGAAAGAATTCCTTAAGTTTGGGGGTAAATGGTTCAGTTTCTGATTTCAAACACAGGAAAACCCCGTATTGTTTTAGTCTCTTAAAACTCTAGATTTTATCAGCCGACAGCTTGTGACGATGTAAAGGTATTGTCTTAACCTCTTCTAAGCCTTAGAACAACGTTTCGAGAGATAACCTTAGGCAGAGAAAATCTTAAGCTCTTATCATCAAGTTTATATGGGGCTTTGCGAAAATTGTAGATTTAGTAAATGAACATTTTAGTTTGTGTAGGAAGGAATGTTACTCCAAGTGTGATCAGGAAGATTCTGACATGCAAGAGATTTCATCGCTTTTATCTTTGCTCTGTCATAATTTCTCCGGAAATCTAAAACCTTAGACGTACAGAAATCACATTCCACGCGTTTTCTCGTGTGTATTTCTCGCTGCAAAGGTTACTCTCGGTACGCGGTCAGTAGTACGATTGCAGCTCCCTTGGCAGCGGTACCCCGAGACCTTATGTGATAGAGTGGTCATTGGTATGGTAGAGGGACTCCTCCCCTCATGTAGCAGGTAATGGATGTTTGTAAACACTGTTAAGATACAGTGAGTTGCCGGGGTGTAATTTTACATCGCACTAGAAATATACCAGGAATATTTTAAATTGCACCTGACCACTGGAGAACGCAAAATGAACGAGCCTGCTGCCTAACTACCACGTTGAAGTTTGCTCTAAAGGTCTCCGGGAGTGACAAAGATCGAGTTTGTGAAAATCACACCAACCTGCATTGATGACCAAAACTTGCGATTATGAGTGTTTCACTGACTTTTATCTTTTCAACACTGTATTTCAAGTCAGGAGACTCTGCTGAAGGAGTTATACAGTACATGTTGGCCAAACTGAATTTGCCACTACGGGTGTTCGCTTCCGAATTCCGTTGTGTTAGGGGATTAGGAGGAGGGGGGGGTGGAGTTGGCGAGGTGAAGCTGAGCTTCCATTAGTTCTTGTCCAAAAGAGGGGNGGAACCATTCCTTTAGAGCGACAGGCAGTTTTTCTCACCCCGTTCCAGTTGGGTTGCCTTTTACTGAAGTTTCTATTGGTTGACTGAGAAAATTTTGGGATCTTCGCCACTTCCATGCAAATGAGTATGATTCTGGCCGTAGATACTTGGTATATTCTACGACTGAACACGGCCTAACGTATGGCGCGAAAAGGATTATGTAATGTCTGCGATCACACAGACTGCACAAGCTCAGTACAGTTCCTGATAGCCGAGAAGTTGAGGTCAAGAAAGATCAAGAGCGCTATCGTGCTTTCCGCTCAATCAAACTGAATAAATTCAAGGTCTTTCCATCTCTTATCATTATTGGGCTCATATTTCATATCTTAGAAGAACGACATATATTGCTGTGAAGTAATTTGCTGTTAATTGGCTTAGATCTGACAGAATTAACACTTTTCACGATCGTTGGACCTTGAAGAATAGACGTAATGACCTGTATTCAAGTTTGAAACAAAGAAGAAAATTGTACAACAACTGCAAATGGTTTGTTCTTTTCCCTTTATGCGGCTGGAATATTTAATTTGGTTACGACAACATACTTTTACCGATTCTAAAAATAAATAGTTCACGTATCTGGCTACGATTCCAAATTTAACTCGATTTGTTTTTTCTTTTCGCTGCTACGACATTCTGCGAGGGGGTGGCCCCGGAAAAAGAGGTTTCGATGTTGCGGTTGACTTTATTCGAATTAGGAAGACAAGAGAAAAAAAATCAGAAGATACGATATGAACCCTTTTCCTTCCTGATCAATATTACTTACGTATCCTTTCAAGCAAAACGGGAGAAAGAAATGAGTCTACAGATCCATCAGCAATAATGTTTGACACAGTGGGAAGTACGCCATTGTCTTGGCCTGTTTTGCGGTTTTTTGTTAAGCTGTCTAGTATAGAGAATTAAATTTACATCGGTCACTGATAACGTGAAGACGTCACCAAAATTAGGCTTCTAGTTGTCAATATTTATCTTCCTTGGTTCAATATGCTTGAATTTCCTATTATTTGTGACTGAATATTAATTCTACTGACAGGAAAATATTACCAGGGTGGTTGAATATTATTTTTTTCAGGGAGATGTTCAATTAAATTCTCCTAACATTTGATGAGGACGCCAGGCGGGTAACTCGTTAACTGCCTCATGAATGCAAACAGCTAATCTGCTTTCAGCCATTAGTATATAAATAGTATTCTTCGTGTTTTGGCAATGTTGGAACCCTTGAGAATACTATTTCTGTTCTTCAAGGTGAGTATCCTTTAACGCGTTTGATATCAGGAGAAAATGACTTCGAGATAAACACTATGTAAATATCGAACGCGAATGAAAATCGATGATAAGCGAACTTGCACACTAACGTGATGTGACCGGAGGCTAGTTTGGCAAATAATTGAAACCACATTTCATCATGACAGCTGTGTCTTATATGGACTGACATGTCTGGAATAACAACCAAGAACTGAATAAGATTCACTTTGGCACGCGATGGCAAAGTGTATGAATGTATTTGACAACTGAGGTGATAATATCGCAACAGATCGATCGAATACAAAAGAACATGTCTGTGACGTGACATGTCTACTTCACAAGCTCATTGCTTGCCGTTTTCAAACCTTTAAAATCGACCTGCAGCGTCAAGATGGTTCCATTTCTTGACTTAGTAAATGTTTAAATATTGTTACGTTTTATTTAGGTTTGTAAATACCAACAGCAAATGTTGACAAATCCCCCAAATTGCATTTGATCGAAGAGCATGAGTGATACATGTATAATTTTATGAGTCGTTCGACCTCAATATTTCGACAAGCTTTTTGATTAACCCAAAAACTCTGTGTCGAGCATGTATCGAGTCTCATCGCATGTTATAGTCCAAGCTGGCTTTTCACTTCTTGAATGTTTGGCTAGCTTTTATAATTTGTTTATTAAACATTTTAAGCCGCCGAATGAATTTACTGTTGAACTCCCGTTGATTTTGTTTGCTTAGCTGAAGTGTCGATTCTTGTCGACAATCGTTAAATGAAACCAGGACATGGATGGGGACTTTTGATGCATTTTACAAGCACAATCGTATAGACTCGTTTGCATTGATGTTTATCTTTTACATTAACTCAAATCCCAACGATTTCATCTTGCCGAGAAATGAAAGTATTCGGACATCAGACCGACGAACTACTAGGGATTTTAACGGGCGTAATGAACTGATAAAGCACTCATGATGTTGGAGGCACGCGTCAAGAACGTGATGTATTAGGCTCATGGTATAAAAAATGTTTAAGTATTCTTCCAGCATCTAAAGTAGTTTATTGCGTCAGTTGTACTGTGTGTACCACATCTTTCAGGAAATGGTGGTGATATTATTTTACAGCGTGTGGTGGGAAAGAGCCAATTACAGATCTCTTGAACGGGGGTGGGGGTGGGGGGAGACTGTAAATGTGTGCTGCTGGGATATTGAAACCCTTACCCTATACTAGACCATTATCAGCTTGATTTTTCATCCTATTCTAGACTAGACACCAAATACCCCTAACCTACCCTATCCCAGACTAGCTATGCAGAATCTTTATCACTATCATAGTCCAACATACACTGACTAAACCAACATCTTACAAAGTCACTTCCAAGTTTCAATTTCTATTATAGAACCTCGGGTAAAGAACCGTGTTCTACTCTTAATTATTTAAAATACACTGGCCACTTTTCAGGTAAATTGTACCCGAGTTTAGACCAAAACTATCTGATTTCTATACCTGGTATCTCAGACTAAGGGACCGTTCATTTTTTATGAGGGAGGGGGGGCTGGTGGGATTTGGGAAGCACCATTTAAAAATCACATGACCCCCCCTCAGCTTACCAATTT